TTGACCCTCTAACTCTAGCACTTTCTATTCTATTTTAATTCTACTTTATCTATTTATCTTCTTTTTTATATAAAAAAAAAACTCTAGCTTTCTATTTTTTTCTATTCTATCTACTTGTTTTTCTCTCTCTGTGTGTGTGTGTGTGTGTATAATATATATATATATATATATATATATACACACACACATTGCTACGTGTACTGTGTTAGGCTAACCAAGACTTGTCATTTGCACTTATATATTGTTGCTCTTTTGTTAGTTTTGACTGCTTTTATTGTCCTCATTTGTAAGTCGCTTTGGCTAAAAGCGTCTGCTAAAAGACTAAAATGTAAATGTAATTAATATAAACCATAGGCCTTATGTTTTTTTCTTTATTTTTATAACCTGAGGCTGCCAATGATTGTTATTCTTGGTGCTTCAATTCATTTCTGTTAAGAAAAGCATATCAACATATAAAGGATTTGTGCCCAGGAAGACCAGGACCGTGTATTAAGAAAATAAAATGTGTTCAAATGCCATTTGACTTATTAAACAAAACATCTACTTCTGAAATATACTGTAATCAGTAGTTTAAAACAAAACAAAACAAAAAAACAATGTAAATGTATATTGTTGTTGTTATTATTATTATAGACTGCCAGTCAAAAGTTTGAAATTATTACGATTTTTTTCAATATTTTTTGAAATAAGTCTCTTATGCTCAGTAAAAACAGTGATATTGTGAACTATTATTACAATAAAAACACTGTTTGCTATTGTAATATATTTTATTTAAAATATAATTTATTGCTGTGATCAGATCTGTATTTCCAGCATCATTACTCCAGTCTTCAGTGTCACATGATCTTCAGAAATCAGTATAAAATTTGTATTTTTATTTATTTATTTTGTAAAGATAAAAAAAAAAAGTAATGCTTTCATTCAGCAAGGAAACAAAAGATAAGATTTTTTTTAATGAAGATTTTTAAATGCTTTTTCATATGCTGTTCTTTTGAATTTTATATTCAGCAAAGAATCATGAAAAATGTTTCCACAAAAATATGAAGCAGCAAAAAAAGTTTTCAACATTGATAATACTAAGAACCATTATTAATAACTGATCAGCAAATCAGCATATTAGACTGATTTCTGAAGATCATGTGACACTGAAGACTGGAGTAATGATGCTGAAAATTCAGCTTTGATCTCAGGAATAAATTACATTTTAAATTCTTCTTTTATAAATATTAAGAATAGTAATTATTCCAAAGTTTTGACTGGTAGTGTAAAATCTAAAATATTCCCCAGGACTGTCATACTCCTCAGTGTTGAAGGTTATGGCAGAGACAGAAGTCACTGTGTCCGTGGAGGACATGGTGGAGGTGAAGAGCGCTGAGGAAGAGGATGCAGATCCTGACAGCCAAAGCAAGACTCAGATGATCCTGCAGCTGCAGCCCATCACAGCTGGGTGAGTGTGACGACAAACATATAATAATACTTCACATCTGTTATAGTACACACGTGATTCAATCGAAAAGGACTGAAACAGCTGTGGCTTGATGTTATAGATGGATGCTTTATGTTTGATAGGCTTGGAGATGAAAGCAGTGAGACAGATGCTGCAGTCGTGGCAGTGGAGACACAAGGTAACCATGTCCCAAAACCTATTAGTGGTGATTGTATTCTTTGTATTATGAAAGCAGGTCTTGCACAGCCAGTGCTGGGATTACATGTAATCTGGATTATGTAATCAGATTCCAAATATTAAGTACTTGTAATTTGAGTATATTACATTTTAAAATGCTCATAATCAGGTTACAGTTATTTTTATGGATTACATGATTACATATTATACACACAATGCCAGTAAATTGTTCCGAATTTATTGATTTGTAGATTTTTTTTTTTTGTCTCTTTTGAATTTTCCTTTTTTAAAAATCCTACTGTGTGTCATACCATTTAGCTTTGACTATATTCACAAATATTGTGTAAAATAAATGCAAAGCATGCTTTTGAATTTGAAGGGAAAAACCACCTCTCAAGCTATTAGACCATGTATGAAACAAATAATTATGCAAGTTACCATACACATTCACATGTTTACAGTTCTCTGATGTCGGCTGGGTCACATGCAGGCAAACAGATAAAATAGTTCAATTTTCAGTGTTCACATAATTTTGATTTTACATTTTTATGATTTAATTAATTATTAGCCTTTTATCAACTTGCAGTTCTTACATTGAGCCCAGTTTGGGAAACCCTAATGTAATGTTTAATGCATTTTATGATGGTGATATTGAAAAATGGAATA